GGTGGGCGGCTATCTGCCTCGGCCGGTTGGGGGTGAGGGAAAGAGAGGGCAAGAGAGAGAGGGCGAGAGAAGGACAGAGGGAGCAGAGAGAGGCAGCCAACACAGCAACACATAGACTAGATGAAAAATGGCAATGATATTAATACTAATGATGATGGTAGAAGTTATGACGGCAACAGAGCAGGAACACGGGGGCAGCAGGAAACTCCCAACCACAGATCCAGACTCCACAGCTCTAGGAACACCTGCAGGAAGTGATAGGAGGAGACTCCCAACCACAGATCCAGACCCCACAGCTCCAGAGCCAGGAATATCTGCAGAAAGTGTTAGGAGGAGAGAGGAGAGAGACGAGAAAGCACACGACTACGAGGAAAGGAGAGAGTCCAGTTAGTAAAATTGTTAATGGAATGAGGTTGCACCGGGAGGGAGAGAGAGAAAGGAAAGGGGAGCTCGGTGCATCATGATGCATCCCCCGGCAGTCTAGGCCTATAGCAGCACAACCAGGGATGGACTTACACTAACTATAAGCTCTATCATAAAGGAAAGTCTTAAGCCTACTCTTAAATATAGATACGTTGTCTGCCTTCCGGACCCAAACTGGAACCTGGTTCCACAAAAGAGGACTCTGATAGCTGAACGCTCTAGCGCCCATTCTAGTTTTGAAGACTCTAGGAACTGCCAGTAACCCTTCATTCTGGGAGCGCAGTTCTCTGGTAGGGCAGTAAGGTACTAAGAGCTCTTTAAGATAAGATGGGGCCTGACCATGAAGACCTTTGTACGTAAGGATTTTAAATTCTATTCTGGATTTAACAGGAAGCCAGTGCAGAGAAGCCAAGACAGGAGAAATATGATCTCTTTTTCTGGTTGCTGTAAGAACACGTGCTGCAGCATTCTGGATCAGCTGAAGAGTCCTAATGGACTTTTTTGAAGACCCTGATAACAGGGAATTGCAGTAATCCAGCCTAGAAGTAACAAATGCATGGACTAGTTTTTCTGCATCATTTTTACACAGGATGCTCCTAATTTTTGCGATATTATGAAGGTGAAAGAAGGCGATTCTTGAAATTTGCTTAATGTGAGAGTTAAACGACATGTCCTGATCGAAGATAACGCCAGGGCGATGCCATCCAGGGAAACTATATCTCTAGATAATGCATCACAAAGGTGTTTAGGCCCTAGAACAATAACTTCAGTTTTAGCTGAGTTTAATGTAGCAGCATAAATGGTACGCTGCCACTTTAAGATCAATTGCGGCTGCTGCATATAAGCAGGTATCCACCTGCCACGAAGCTGCGTGCGTCATGACGTCGTATCATTTTGGTTCCTGTCTGCTGAGCGGTGCTGGGTAAGGGCTAGCGTGGCTAGATAACATCTACCCCATATAAACAAAGCCTTTACGTAGCATTTTGTTACAGCTGTGCGGCATAGGCGGAATGGCGAAACAATTTATCTGGCAGCCTGGTAATGCAACAGGTAAGCGGCTACCATACATACTAGTTTTCATCGGCAGTTGTATTGATGATCTGCTCTTTTTTTTTTTTGCCTCCCGATGAGTCTTTGACCACCATAATACTGGATTTGACACTCGCTGCTGTTTTGCCTAAAGAAATTCTTCAAAAGACCTATCTGAACTTTCTCCTGGTGCCGGGAGCATTGATGGCACTACTATCTGGATGAAGTGCAATATTGTAGTGCTATTGTACCACTGTTTTACTCATATTGTTTCATTTTTGTCTTTCCTTTAGGGACTGAGGCTTCTGTGGTGATCCCTGGTGGCGGTGTCTTGGTTTGTGTGTTTTGTTGGAGCACCTTCTTTTTTTTTTGTTTGCCGTGTTTTTGTAGTGTCCAGGGTGATCCCTTTTCTTCACTGGATGTTGCCCCTTTTCTCACCACTTCCCCCCCACTTGTAAGCCTCAGTTTCCTTTTGAAATTTAAATATTTTATAATCAATCTCATTAAAAAAATGCGTTTACTGTTTTAACCATTTAATCGCAGATTATTGTGACTACTTTTAAACAAAGGAAGAATATTGAAGTTAATAAACTTTTGTAAAAACCATTTGAATCTTGTCTCACTTCCAGTAGAACTTACTTGTGTCCTTACTATTCTATTTTCCTGGAGTTATTCCAGGTGGCATTGTTGGTATCCCATATTAATTTTAAACATCTTATATTTGGGTTTCATAAAAAAAGAGAAAATCCATCCACCCCTCCCCCCAGGTTGCCACATTAACATTAGAAAATTGCAGGTCATCCAGGTTTAAACATCCTGAAGACACATTTGAAGCTTAGCTAGCTGATGAGTTTCATCTGGCTTGATCGATAGGTATAACTGAGTATCATCTGCATAGCAATGAAAGTTGATAGAGTGTTTCCTGATAATATTACCTAAAGGAAGCATATATAAAGTAAAGAGGATTGGTCCGAGAACGGATCCTTGTGGAACTCCGTGGCTAACTCTGGCATGCATGGAAGACTCATCGTTAACAAGCACAAACTGAAACCGATCTGATAAATAGGACTTAAACCAACTTAGAACGGCTCCTTTAATGCCAATGAAATGTTCCAGTCTCTATAGTAGGATCTGATGGTCAATGGTGTCAAAAGCAGCACTAAGATCTAATAAAACCAAAACAGAGACGAGTCCTTTGTCTGATGCCATTAGGAGGTCATTAGTAATTTTCACCAGTGCGGTCTCTGTGCTATGATGAGCTCTAAATCCTGACTGAAAATCCTCAAACAAGCTATTGCTATGTAGATAGTCACACAGCTGTTTCGCTACTGCTTTCTCCAGGACCTTGGAGATGAATGGAAGGTTGGATATAGGTCTATAGTTGGCTAAAACATCTGGGTCCAGGTTAGGCTTTTTCAAAAGAGGTTTAATTACAGCTACTTTAAAGTACTGTGGCACATACCCTGTTAATAAGGACAGAGAAGTACCGACTAAGGGTAGGACTTCTTTAAGCAACCTAGTCGGGATGGGGTCCAAGAGGCAAGGTGAAGGTTTGGGTGAAGAAATTATTGAAGTTATTCAAGTATTCAAGTAATTCAGCAGTAAAAGCTCAAAAGTTAGCAAACAGTGGTCAGATAAAGACGGATTATGTGGGAACATTATTAAATGTTCAATTTCAATACCATACACCAGAACAAGATCAAGGGTGTGGTTAAAACAGTGAGTCGGTTCATGAACACTGAGAGAAGCCAATGGAATCTAACAGAGAGATAAATGCAGTACTGAGGCTGTCATTCTCAACATCCACATGGATATTATGTCACGTCTGGTGTCTTGTCTCGTCTTGATTACCTATTAGGTACACCTGGGATTCCCTTCCCTCATGTGTTTAAATAGTCCTCGTTTCCCCTTGTCTTGTGCGAGTGCGTTCTAGTCCGTCCTGTCCTTCGTCACCCCCACGCCAGGTTTGTTTTTGTCACAGTTTTTGCCACAGTCTTGTCACAGTTTTGTTAATCGTTATTTTGTTACTTTGCTTCAGTCTGGTTTGCTATTGCTTTGATACTTTGATCACAGTTTTCCACAGCTTTGATTTGTACTTTGTCTGGACATTCACTCTGTTTTTGTACAATAAACCTTGTTTCCCTCATCTCCGCACCTGAGTCCTCCCTCAAGAACCCACCTTCCTGACATATTAAAGTCCCCTACAATAATGAATTTGTCCGTTTTAAGGACTAAAGTTGACAAAAACTCTGCAAATTCAGATAAGAATTCAGAGTATGGACCGGGTGGTCGGTACACTGTAATAAATAGAATAGGTTGCAGTGATTTCCAGCTTGGGTGGGAAAGACTCAGAACAAGGCTTTCAAAAGAGTTTTAGTTCAATTTAGCTTTAGAGCTGATTACAAGACTGGAGTCAAAGATAGCTGCAACTCCACCTCCTCGACCTGTGCTTCGAGGAATGCGAGTATTCCTATGACTGGGAGGGGTGGATTCATTTAGGCTCACAAAATCTCCATCACCCAGCCAGGTTTCAGTAAGACACAATAAATCAATCTTATAATCTGATAATAATTCATTTACAAGCACACCTTTAGAAGAGAGAGATCTGATATTCAAGAGTCCACATTTTACTCTCTTATTTGCATGCACTATTTCTCTTGTGGTTTTAACTTTTAATAGGTTTTTATGGACAACTCCTCTGTTTACCCTTAATTTAAAAAAATTCAATGACCGGGGGACAGACACCGTCTCTATAGGTTTTTCACCAAGTAACTTTAGGTTTCTAGAAATGAGAGCGGCTCCCTCCCCCGTGGGATGGATGCCGTCTCTCCTAATCAGGCCAGGTCTTCCCCAGAAAGACTGCCAGTGATCCACAAAGACTACATCATTGGCTGGGCACCACCTCGCTAGCCATTGACGGAAAGATGACATGGGGCTGAACATGTCATCACTAACCAGGTTGGGCAAGGGGCCAGAGAAAACTACGGTGTCCGACATTGTTCTAGCATATCTACAAACTGACTCCACATTTAACTTAGTGACTTCTGACTGACGTAACCGGGAGTCATTAACGCCTACGTGGATAACAATCTTACTGTATCTACATCTACCCTTTGCCAGAAGTTTCAAATAAGACTCAATGTCGATCGCTTTGGCCCCAGGAATACACTTAACTACACTCCCTGGGGTGTTCAGCTTCACATTCCTCAGAATTGAGCTGCCTATGACTAGGGTTGGTTTGTCAGCGGGTGGCTCGCTGAGTGGGGAAAATCTGTTAGCAACGCGAACATATTGAGGGGACACTAGGGGCTTAGACTTTTTACGGCTATTCCTCCCTCGGACAGCCACCCAGTTATCCTTTCCTGGCTGCTCAGGAGAGGCCGGAGGGGGGGGACGGCTATCAGCTAACTCAGGTCGGTCCGCACCGACTACTTGGCACTAGCTACACTTAGCTAGCCTAGCTAAGGGCTGCTCTACTACGGTGCGGAGCCGAGCTTCTAACGCACTGAGCCTCGCCTCCATGTCTAGAAATAAACTGCACTTGTTACACATACCACTACCGTTAAAGGAGGCAGAGGAGTAACTAAACATCAGACACACCGAGCAAGAGAGAGCAGGAGAGCGAGAAGCCATCGCTAGCTGTTAAAGTCGCTATCGGCTAAACAAAAGTACGGTACAGTTGGCCACCGGAACTTTTGTTACATCCGCTATATAAGACAGAACAGCAGTCACCCAAGATGGAAAGAAATATTGGTGCTTAGGCAAACTTACTGAAATATAATTACGTTATATGGTAGTTAGCGAGAGCAGAGAAAAAGCGCTACCACCACACAAACACCGCTAACGGAAATGGGTCAATACGCTTACCGCTACGCTTACGCCAGGAACGTTAATGTAACGCTGGAAGTACTCACTCAAGGCTCGATACGTTCTGGCACTGGAGACTGGCAGGAGCGGAGTATATATAGAGGTGGAAACAGGTGCAGGTGATGAGGGTGATTATGGAGTGAGGATACTGAGCAGGTGTGCAGACGGGGGTGGAGTCAGCTCCAGTGCTAGGAACGTTACAGGCCCTTAATTATCTGTTTTACTAATTCCCAACACATGTAATATAAAAGAAAAAGGTAATCTCATATTATAGTTAGTAAAGTGAGTCTAATTACATAATGACATAATCTGCTGTCCGACAAATTGTGAGAAATGTCCATGTCCACAATCTGTCCGGTGGGATTATTTCCCAACAAATGTAATAAAAAAATTTTTTTTTACTTGCTATAATAGTTGGTTTAATGTTTCCATCTGTGGAGGAGCGACCTGGAAAACACAAAGCAAATACACTGGTTAGTTCTTGCCTTGGGATGTTTTTTTTCATTTAAGTCTCTGTTACTCTCATGACTGTTCCCGTCCAAGCTGGAGGATGAGTTCAAAATTCTAGCTATTTACTATGCATGCATTAAAAGATTATCTTTCAAATAGTTAAATCATTCTAATGAACTAATAAAATTCTGTGACATAAGCCGTCGGCTGGTCTCTGGAATTAAAATACCTTTTTACGTTCGTGTAGACGTGCGGATAGAAAAACTGTGTATTGTGCACTTACTGCAGTTTGGGCCTTCAGACCAGCTTCCATCTCTGCAAAAGATGGATTTCATGTGGACTCCTTCCTCTGTAACATATCCATCTTTACATTTATATTGTATTTCGGTATTCTCAGGAAAAACCTCCCGGTATTCCTGTTTAATGATGAGTGCCTGTGGGCAACTTGGGGGCTCAGTGCATGCACTGTTACTTTCTGTGAACGAAAATAATTAATTAAATATTTGATAAACAGAAACTGTTCAAATATTAAAAAAAAAGAAAAAAGCCCCAAAAGATTTACTCTCACAGGACAGCACAGGGAACCATGTTCCATTTATTCATGCTATAGCATTCAGTTTATGGTTTACAAATGTTACTCTCAATGGATGACCTCCCACATACCAGCCAGTTGAGCTTTCAAAGTAGTTTGCATTGGGGATATTTGGAGAAATGCAGGCATTCTCATCTTATGATGCAAAGAACATAAGATTCCATCTCAAGGGATCTGAAGTTAGTTAGAAGTAAGTTGTTAAATAGATAAAAAGTGGAAGGTGCAGATAAAATACAGTCAATTGTCATAAATAAAGCTGTTTTCAGCCTGGACTGTAACAATGTCAGAGTTGAGTGCTGTCTCACTTCTTCAGGAAGACTTCCAGATTTTAGGAGCGTAAAACTGAACGCAGCCTAACCCTCTGTGGTTCTGACTCTGGTTGCCAGCAGGAGACCTCTACCTGAGGTTTTCAGAGTCCGAGGCTGGTCCATATGCCTCTAACATGCCAGAGATGTGCGTTGGTGGCGGTATGCCAGAAAGAGACTTGTAAACAAACATAGCTGTTTTAAAATCCATTCTCTGAGCGGCAGTCGTGGTGGGACACATCACGGTTGCGTGTTAGCTGGCCTAATGACTTTCTGGGCCCGAATGGGCTCTCTTGGACAAAATCAATTTAGTTTTGCACAAAAATCAACATGTTTTGAATATCACGGTGTGATTTTGAGGAACTGGGTTATTTTGACATTACCAGTTGCCTGATTTCACACAACTCTTACCCTATTTAAATCTACGGCATGAAATAGAAGCAGCATTTCCCAGCAGGGCGGCAGCAGATTTCTTAAAAGGAAAGGAATAGGTTGAAGAACAAAACAAAGCCTTCTGACACCACAATCCGATGGGACACGGCAGATCGACACAAGGGAAAGAAAACGATGCAACAAAATGTGTTCAAACAAGAATTTTAATTGTGTTGTCTCAGTCAAAGAACAACTGACTCAGTCATTTTGGGCAAACAGCTCAGGCAGACCCAAACAAAAGGCTGGTCATATGTTTTGCAGAAGCTTCTTCTTGGTGAAGACTTTCTAAAGTTAGCAGCCGATGGTCGGTGATCCAGTTGTTACTCTATCGGGTTCCACCTGCACTGTCTCTGATTAAAATAAAGAT